ATGATTCCCTTGAGAAAGGATGAAACTAGTAGTAGTATTTTCTTATAATATTATACACACTCATGTAATTTCAGCTACTGATAACATACAGTGAACACTGCACAGTCTAGTACGACAGTAGTCGTGGAATGCTTTGAATTTAATCTCTTCTCTTCTATATATAGTGAAGTCCACTTCTGAATAGTAATAAGGCTTGTGGAACATCCTAGATGTCGCTAGTATACAGTGACCACTACCCATTCACCGCTTTACTTCTCAGAAACTATTTTCAATATATATACCCCAAATCGGTATACATACAGATGTGATATTCGTATCACATCGTATCGTACTGCAATTGTTTGCAGCACAAACCAGGCGATGAGACTTAAAGTCAAGTCAACACTCGTTCTGGCAATTTGTATCACCACTGTCGGTGAATAACTTTTAAATTTTTATGGTCCACGCCAGAAACGAGCCATTCGAACATTCTATACCACTACATACTCTTTCAAGTCGATTAACTGAGCTTGACAACATTCCTACGATTAGATTCCTCATTGTATAAGATCATTTGTGTACAAGGTTAAAGTATACCTCTTCAGAGACCAAAGTTAAAAAACGTATCAAGTTTACAATTGTGATCTCACTTCTAGTTTCAACTTTGCACCTTTTATCATCAAACCGAACCATACTATCTCCCACTCTTATATCATCGCAGCAGCTGTGGTTGTGGCGAAAGGTGTTTCCCATGTACAGAAACACATTTGATGCCGAAGACATATCTTCAAATGTGCTCTAATAAAAACTACCACCAGCTTCAACATAAAACTCCATCACCTAAAGCTCAAATTTAAAAGACCATTCAGAACATTTCAAAGACATAAGTAGAAATTCCAACAAATATGTATTTCAAAGACTCAGTTTTCTACAATATCTTTAATAAAGCTTCGAAAATCTATCTCAAAAAACCCTAAATTTACTTTTACTATATAGAATTCTATCCTAACTACCGATTCCATGTCTTCAGCAGGGGTAAAATGCGTCCTATAATGCTTTTAATCCAAAAAGATGTTAATAATATCTGAAGACTATTATTTCAATTTTGGTACGGACTTATCTATTACGTCTTCAGTATTGGAAAGTCTTGGATACATGTACTTATAGATTGTAAACATGCCTGTAGGATCCCTTAAGCAAGGAGGAAATAATCATCATGGTAGCTCTATCATATCACGCCAATAAGTCAGACATCCACGAGTGAGTAGGATTTTTGTTTGCGCATCACAGTGGAGCAGATAGAGAGCAACACGGAGAATGGAATGTCAACTTTAGACAAAATTTTCCATTAGATGTATATCAAACAACACTGAACTATAGACATTTCTTATGGATGTATGCCGAATTTATAAATGCATTGAAGAAAGGCATATAGATATACAACAGTTTCTACAGACAATATCATTGCCCATATCATAATTCTCAAAACAGATAGCTACAAGTGTGGGTGGTAAGAAAACATAGATAGATTAGATCTATTTCCATGTGAGCATCAGAGAAACACAAATAGTTGAAAAGTGTGAAAATGTAGTTGTGAAGTACTTGAGTTAAACAAAATCATAAGAAAATAGTTGAATAGGTCAACTATATAGTTAACAGAATGGAATCGAACTTGGAAGTTTGACGGGACTCGGACGTCTTTTTTTTTACACAATCAAGGGGGCCAATCAAAGCGATCAATCAAAATTAACTTTTCTAATCGATTTAACATAATTGATCACCTTCTTTGTTTTCGTTTATTGAGGACAGCCATTTTGATTTTATCTTGACATGTCTGGTCAATACCCATCCATCAATCGGTAGACGACGTGTTCAATGAGTTCTTTGTATTTGAACAAAAGATGATCGATCGATCAATTTGTCTGAGCAATTAAAGGCTTTCCAGTTCATTGAGTCTCTTTTCTATCTATCTTTTTTTTTCTTCTCTTAATCTCTCTCTTGGATTTTTTTTTCCACGGGAATTCTTTTTTCCACCAATGGTCAACGAGAGTTTCTACATATTTTCTTTCTCTCTTTCGATTTCTCTCGATCACTCTCC